AGGTAGGCCAATCTGGATCAAAGCCAGCCCCACCTGCATTCACTAGCTGTCTGACCTTGGGAAGTCCTCAGTTTCCTCTGCTGTAAAAAGAGGACAAGGACAGACTATACGTTAGAGGACTGCTGTGGAAATCAGACAATCTGTATAATGTGGTTAAAATAGTGCCTGGCGCAGAGTAAATGTTCACGTTGTCCTCAGGCCTGTAGGTATTTGAGCTTGGATCCCTGCTATGCTCCCGTGGTGAGAAGCTCAAGGATGCAAAAGGGACCACAGTGGTGACCCCTGTGTGCAGCACGGAAGATGCGTTTTGTTATGTCAGGCAGAGCCAGGGAGCCATGCTCTGGCCTGAAAAACTATAGCAACGATGACTGGGGTACAGTGTCCACCAGAGGGACAAGAACAGGAGGGTTTAGTGGCCTGGGGGCCTTTTGCAGAATCCTGGGTTATGCAGAGATCATCAGAGTTGAACATTTCTTTCCCTTTTTCCCTCCTCCCCTCCCTGACAGTGAAGGCAAGGTTACTTTGTGCTTTCGGTACAGACACTGCCCAGGTCTGCTTTCCCACTTGACTGCAAGACATTTGAGAGCTTTTGCGTCTGGGAACCCCAGTACGTAGTTCAGTGCTGGCATACAGTACATGCTCAATAAATGCCTGTTGACTGGTTAACAGACTGACTGACTGGTTGTGATCTTGGGGGATGGAAAAGAACCACAGTGAGGATTCTGCGCTACCTTCTCGGGGCCAGAGCACCCACATTCCTCACCAGTACCCTGAGCCTTCATATCTGTGCAAGCTTAGCACAGGCCTCTGCAGGGCCAGCTCTTGGGTGGTATAACAGGGTAAGGGGCCAGCAGGTTGAGGGGTCCACAATTGGGGCCTGTGTAGAACAAGAAGGCCTTGCAGTGGGTCAGACTTTCACAGTTGGGGCTGGTGCCAAACGCAGCAGCTTGTAGCCAAGGCAAGTTGGCTGGAGCTTGAGAGCCAGCCGACCAGGGATGAAGCAGGTGTCAGGCACAGGGAGTGGTAGCATGGTCTAGAGCCTGCGTGGTGGGGAAAGGGATGGTGGTGCTGGCAAGCATTCAGGACAGGCTCTAATCCCAAGGAAGAGGTTATTTCTCACGGGGCAGGATTTGCAGCTAGGTGCTCACCAGCTCCTAGGTGGCAGGTGGTGGGCTCTGAAGGTGCGATCTGTGCCTGTTGTTCATTTTTGGTTTTTAAATTCCCCATGGCCTTTAGCATAGTGTCAGGCACACACAATGATGTTTAAGGAATGTGTATGGGAAAAATGCAGCCAGAGTCACTTTGGGGCAGCTTTTGCCTTCTAATGCAAGGGCTCCAGACCTCATGAGTGTTTCTCCAATCCTCCTTTGGTAGACAGGATTTGAACATGGCTTCCTGGAGGCGAGGGATGGCAGCCAGACCTCACTGGTGCTCCCTGGACAGTGGAGGGAGAGTTACCATTTGGGGAGGGTCTAGACCTTCCATGAAGTTACTGCTTCTTGTGCCGACTGGCAGGGATGAGCAGCCTTAGATAAGGCACAGCCACCAGCTAGGAGTCTTTGAAGCAATGATACAACCTTGAGAAGAATGGAGAAATTTCATTTTTGGAAGCTGCTTTACTCAGTCTTTTTATTCTCCCTTGGGATCCTGTGCGACCCCACAGTCTCTCTCCAGGGCTTAGGAAGACTCCTCCCAATGCTCTTTGAACAGTCTCCCATCCATCTCCCCAGGCTTCTTCCCCTCTTGTCTTCTCATGCACATGGAGCCTGTTCAGATGGGAGAGAGTAACAAAAGCCATTCTAGGCCTTTTCTCATCCCCTCCCCTGACCCCTGGGCCACATCTGGTCTGAGAGAGACTATGAGCTGAAGTATAGGTCCCAGGTGTAGAGTTGTGTAACAGTGTGACAGGCACTGTATCTTCTGCCTGCAGAAGCAAATGTTTAGTAACCTGTGTTTAATGAGCAGCTATTAGGTGCCAGATGCCATGCACTGGGGTAGAATGATGAAGTGGTGGCCGAAGGGTGACTGGGGGAGAGTCAGACCTTACCAAGATTCACAAAGGTTTATAAGTAACATAACATATTCAACTGAGATTTCCTCTTCTCTGGGAAGTCTGTTGCCCAGAGCTGGGTAAGGGCTCTTGCTCTGGGTCCCTTGGCTCCCTGTCATGACACATCTCCTAGCATTGATTACATTGCTTTATAATTATCTCTTGGTCTAGCCATCTGCAAAACAGAGCATGAGCGCCTGAGAAATAGAACAGCTTTGTATTGATCAGTGGAAGCAGTTGCAGAGTTTCTTTGTAGGAGAGGCGTATGGATAATACTCTGGGGCCAGGGGAAGAGCAGCTAGTCTTGGTAGATACCTTGGTTTCCTTATCTATAAAATAAAATAGGGATAATAGTTGAGCTGTCATGACAGTTAAATGAGAGGACAAGGGGCTCTTGAGCATCTCTAGGACAAGGGGCAGCTTTCATCTCTCTCAAAGCACAAAATCAAAGGCAACAAACAAGAGACTAGGCCCAGGGAAGCATGCCCTTTAGTATGCCTATTATTCCCAAGAAAGGAAAGTGAATTTATAAGTATATTGATAAAAATGTGGAAGAAGGAAAGCAGGTGAGTGGTTCCTCAGACAGTTAAATCCAGAATTACCATAGGAGCCAGCAATTTCACAATCTAGGCACATACCCCACACAACTGAAAACAGGTACTCAGACAAATCCTTGTACACACATGTTCACAACAGCCAAAAGGTGGGAACAGCCCAAATGTCTATCAATAGATGAACAGATAGTGTACATACATACAGTGGAATATTCTCTCATGAAAATGCATGAAGCATCAATACATGCTACACCATGGATGAGCCTTGAAAACATGCTAAGTGAAAGAAGCCAGACCCAAAAGGTCACATATTATATGATTCCAATTATGTGACACTGTCCAGAATACATGAATCTGTAGACACTGGATGCAGTTTAGCAGTGGCCAGGGGCTGGGGAGAGGAAGTAATAGGGAACTGCTTAATGGCTATGGGCTTATTTTGGAACAATGAAAGTGTTTTGAAACTAGACAGAGGTGGTAGTTGCACAATGTCAGGAATGTACTAAATGCCACTGAATTTTTCTCTTTAAAACGGTTTTTATGTAATAAGAGGTTTACCTCAATTTAAAAAATGTGGGAGGAGATAATACAAATCTCTTGAAAGCTAATAGATGATAAATGGAAAAGAATGGTCTAGTTCCCATTATTGTTTAAGTAGTATAAAAAATCATCAATTATTCTTCTAGTGTGCATCTATTTATTTACTCCAATATCAAATGTTGAGTGACCACATACCTCAGTGGTCTAAATATTCCTTATTAAAGGAATAATACTTCTTAAGCCACTGAAACTGATTCCTTGAAAATGTGTCAGAAGCACCAGACCTTCTTCCTCATGTGGCACATGGTCTGTTACTGTGTCCCCTTCCCTTGTCCCAGACAGGGTGGGGAAAATGCAGTGCCTGTCTGGAAGTGAGACAGTCTTTCCACGGCCAGCTGTGGAGTCTGTGCCATCTGCCCACTGAAAACCCAGTAAGGGTCAGCTCTTCCCTCAGAGGGATCAATAATGTCCTTGTGCTAAATTATGAAGATGACAACAGCTAGAAGTCAGCAAGTACCCCAGGCACGGGGCACATCACTGCCTTTTTTTTTGGAAACAGAGGCTTTGGGCCAAACAGCCCACGAGGCAGGAACTCAGGTTCTAATTTGGAAACCAGGAGAGCTCTGAGTAGGTCATGTCCAGGTGGTGCAGAGTGCAAATATGCTTCCCTCTCCCATGGAGGTTTCACTATGGAATGGGGCGGGTCATCCACTGAATTAGCCAGAGGTTTCCATCTAGACCCCTGCACTGCTGCGCTGGCAACTGCTGCTCAGCAGATTGTACCTTGGGCCAGAGGGAGAGTTTCAGGTTGGGAGTGGATGGTAGACAGAGAGAAGGGAAGGTGGAAGCTCAGCCATTTACAAGAAAGGGGCTTGATAGATCGGCTGAGTCTGCAGGGCACCTTAAGAATGATGTGTTCTCTCTCAGCTTTGCCACTTCTCCCTAGCATAATGTTGACTAAACAGCTGCAACATGCCCATAAAGCAACCTGCAGGGTGAGGGCCACCTGGCTGTTATTTTTTATGCCTCAAATTCTTGGCAGTGCCATGCAAGGAATAGCTATTGACAGCCTAGCATGCACGCCCAAAACGCATGGGAGCCACCAAGCTTGGATGAGCACTTGTTTATTCTGGGTCCCTAAACACTGAGAAGATGGCTGTGACCTCAGAGTTAGTTTCTGGGAGATTTCAGGCCAGTGTGCATGAGTGTCTGGAAACTCTGGGCTATGGCCAGGGCTCTTACAGCAGCGGGGCTTTTGAAAGCTGCCGGTATTTTGTCCCATTGGTGGAGCTGCATAGGAATCTAAGATTAGAAACCACAAGCAGAAGGACACAGACTCAGGATCTCACTCAGGCTGGGGAGGGAAAAGCAAGCTTGCTTTTGTGGCCTTGACTTGCATTGTACCCTTCTCTTCTCTTACGTATGGTGGCCATGGTGGTAACATGTCGTTTAGGTTAAGACACACCATGTCCTCTGTGTGCCATTCTGTTTCCATAATACTATGCTAATGGAATGTTCCAGTTTCCACTGCTTCTTTCTCTGCCTGCAACCCCCAGCCTCTGCACCTATCTCTAAACCTGTGTACCACCAACTGTCCCTTCCCAGGACATTTTTAAAATTAGAAAATGCAAAAAATAAAAAAAAATTTTAATTAAAAATATTTTAAAATAAATTTCCTTTTCTTCTCCTTTTAAAAATAAATTTAAAAAACTAGAAGTACTGTATCATACAACTGTCTTTGTTGACACTGTTTTTCCCTCTGTTATGACAATTTTATGACTCACTTGGAAAACTGAAGAAATCTTGGGTAGATATTCCTTAAGCCTCTCCACCTTGAAATTAGGGCTGTTCTGGAGGAGAATAAAAGTCAACTGAAAACCATACTAACAGGAAGAAGTTATCGGTAGTAAAGAGCAGGGGCAGGTCTGCAACGGGGAGACTGCAAAAGGGCAAAATCTACAAACACAATCTTTAATTTTGACCAGGAAATACAGCAATGATTGGGTTTTCTTCCATTTCTTAGCAGGAGATTCCACAGAGCAGCTTGCTTACAATCGTGGGAGGAAGTCTCTTCCCAGCAACTGGAATTCGGTTTGGACCCTGCTGCAGCCCCTGGGGGATTGCCCTGGGAAAGGAATCCTGTGTTTGGAACTCAGCTGCCCTTCCCAGGTCCCCACTAAAGGTCCAGCCATGTCCCCAGGTGGTGCTCTGTTCAGATGGCTCACCCCGATGTGGGCGAAAAGTCAGAAATCTGAGCTGGGCTGTGGCCCTGGGTACTGCCTTTCAAAGAATCTGCTGTAGGTTTTCCTTTTGCTGCTTGGACAGAGATAAAGTCTATCTAAAAGGCACTCAAGGCTGTTGTTTCCCTTCTGCAGAGGTTTTTGGGGATTCTTGAGAAAGGAGTAAGGACTGAGGCTGAGGTAACAGAAAGGATGGGTGTGGCCTGGGGCTTGCCTGAAAGGATGAGATCAGCCTGCATGTCTCCAAGACAGCCTCCTGGTTTACCCCAGAGGCCACTTGGGGACGATTCAGCCTCCAAGTGCAGTCTTTTCATTTTACCTCTGCCAGCATTTGGGGGGCTGTGTGTGAGGTACAGAAGTTCCAGGTGATAGAAACCCAGGAGAGAAACGCCTGTGTCTGCTATTCCTTAACTGAGAGACAGAGCTTGGATTCTGGTCCCTCTTCAAGCGGCTGCTGACCTGGTACACACTTGTCTCCCTGAACCAGAGTTTGCTCATCTGTGAAGTGAAGGGGCGGGGCTGACTCATCTCTACAGTGTTTTTCCATTTCGAGGTCTGTGGGTCTGTGGTTACTTCCTTTTCCTCATCAACAGCCAGCCCCTATCAGAAGTATGTTTACTTGAAAGTTTTGATGTTGGCATAAAATTCTAGCTTCACTATGTTAGGCTTTCCTGGTTGCAGCAGACAAAAACCACAGATACATCCAAGACGCCAAATGACGCTCAGATTCAGGGCCATGGCTGGTGTAACTAGCACCTTGGTTAGTGTGAGAAGAAAAAGTGCCTTCCCTGGGTGGACTCAGCTGCAAGTCAGGTGGGTCCATGTTCTAGAAGGTGGCATACCAGCTGTTTTCAGCCCAATGAGCTCTCAGGAGTCCTTGTGCAGTGCATAACCTGTACGAGCATCCGCAGAGTGCTCACTTCTTTGGGCTCTGACTCCTTACTGAAGGTAAGGAGTAAAAAGTGGCCAGAACAGATGCATACCATTGATATGACAGAAGGAGACTTTTATAATTACTGCCTTAAAATATTTCGTACAGTTAAAAAGCTGCAAGTCTGGGCCTAAGATGCTGCCCAGATCCTACACTCACACAGTCCATCTGATTTGGAAGCATCAAGGGGCAAGATTCGTAATAATAATAAAATTCCTTCATTTTTATAGAACCTTACAATTTAGTAGCACATTAAATGTACTTTCCTTTTCGATTTGCTTCTGATTCTAACCATTGCCCTGATGAGTAATAATTATCCTCATTTTAAATGCAAAGGAAATGAAGCTGAGAGATTCAAAGACTTGCTCAAGGTCACCTAATAAGTGGTGAAGGCAAGAACTGAACCCATGTCTGTTTAGCTCCAAGTTCAAGATTTTTCTCTTCCACACCAGGTCCCATAAGATCCTGATTTGGGCAGTGGCAGCCAGACCTATAGAACTATTCTTTGAGGGTTTAGAATTAGTCTGAGAAAGCCATCCTTCTTGTATTAACTATAGAAGGGCTCTCCATGCAGCTGTAGTAACGAGGCTTAGAATACAAGTTCTGGAGAGGTCTTGGCAGATCTTACAGTCAAGTCAAAGTATTTCTCACATGGGGAAATGATACCTGGAGATTCGCTTGTTTGGTTAAATGTACCTATACTATCTGTGTGCCATTAACCCAGGACTCTCCAACATTTTAGATTTCACTCTGCAAGGCATCCTAGGAAAGCCTTGGGAGTCTAGAGAGGGTCACCTGGAAGTCACCATATAATACAAACATAATATCTGTAGGCCACTACTGATGAATCCAAGACTCTTCAGTGTCATTGTGGTCTTCCCGACTGTGAGCACAGGCCTTTTAGCAGTGTCTCATCACTGCTTTTATTTACAGCATCTGGGATAGTTAAACTGGAGCAGCTTCCATCTCTCCCCAGGCCCCAGACCCAAATACCCACTTCCTATCACATATCTCCGCCTGGACATCCCCTGGGCATAGCCAACTGAAATGTGTGTAAAGTGTCCACTGCCTTCTCCTACCACAAATCTGCCACCTAAGCCCACCCCTCCCTAGTTCATGTGATTTCCACGTGTGTCACCATGCATGCTCCCATGTCCAACTTAACACCTTATACTCACCCTCTGTTCCGTGCATTCCTCCTTTACCACATTCACCAGGTTACCAGGTTAATTCTGACTCCACTTCCTAAACTCCACTAAGATCCATTCCCTGTCCTCAGTGTCTGCTGCCATTATTTTAGCTGCGGTCTTCCTTATCTCTGCTTCCTGTCTCTCCAAGCCAGCCTCCATTTGGCCTTTAGTTCTCTCTCCAAACAAAAATCTGACCATACCCTTTTCCTGTTTAAAAACCAAAATGACGTCTTTCTGCTACAGAAAGAGCTAACTGTTCTTAGTATAGTAGCATGGTCCCTATTACTAGCAGTTCCCCCCAACCTGCCCTGGACTTTGCATATACTTTCCTCTGCCTGAAAAACCCTTTTCCTGGGAATAATTTCAACACCCTGCTCATTGATCACTTCTGCAGTGTTGACTTTCCAGGTAATTCCTGGGGGAGATTATCCCTCCCTCCTTTGGATCGTTTCAGGGGCCTGCAACCACTGCTCTTATCATGTGTATTATTCTGTTTCTGTATCTGTCTCATTTACACCAGATTTTGGTTCTTCAAAAGCAGAAGCTGTCTCATCGTCTTTAGACTTCAAGGTCCTGGCATACTGTCTGGCCCACAGTAGGTACAGGTAACTGTCAAATGAATGGATGGGATGGATGTACATCTCTGATGAAATAAGAAGCTTAGCTTGTTAAGTCTTCATTATTCTCTTGGTTTTAATCTTTAGGGAAAAGGGCAGAAGTCATCCCCTTTATTCCACAGTCAAAATACTGACAAATTTGGGAGGCTGGAGAAACATCTATTTCTTTCCTAAAAATTGTATCTGGGGTGGGGATGAGGAGCCAGAATTTCAGAGAAAATGAAGAACTTGGTCAGATTTTCCAGCACAGCTGCCTGCATCACCCAGTACTGAGCAGGGAAGGCACAGCAGCCTAGGAGGTTGACCCTGGCTAAGGCTAATATCCTTGCTGAATTCTTTCGGTGGACCTTACAAACCATTTGTAAAATGCTGAATCCTTTCGGTGGACCTTACAAACCATTTGTAAAATGGTTAGGAGCACGATGCATCCATGCTACTTTTGGGTCCTGCTCCTTCTAACTCATGGCCCTCCCACTATCCAACACGACTTCAGAAAGAGGGGTCTTAAAACTAGCTTTGGATTCTTATAAACTTTAGCTGATTGAAGGAAATGCAACAGCTTTGGAAGGAAGGTGCTTCTGAGATGCTCGAGTGCCCTGTCCACACTCCCCAGCCCCCTAGTTGTACGGAATCCGTGGAGCAGTCTGCAAGGTAGCTAAGGTGCTGGCTGCCAGCATTCCCTGGGAAATTCGAGCTGTGCTTGTCTGTTTTGGTTTCCCTTTCAGTTAGGCAGGCCTGGTGTTCCCACCAGCTAATGTCTATAGTTTATTTAACTATTATTTCATACGTTTTCCTGTGAAGCTCTTCGAAATACTAGAGAAAACAGTTCTTCTATGTCCTCCATGCTACCTTCATGGGATGGGTGGGGAGCTGAGAGGGGGACTGTTTATAGAGAGGCAAAGAAACTGGGAAGCAATCTGTGTCACCGAAAACCGCCTGGAGGCTCAGGGAATACCAGACAGGTTCCCATTCCCGCCCTGGCTCCAGGCCATATTTTCGTTTCCGCCAGTTTCTTAGCCTCATTGAAAATTTGGCTTCACTTAGAATAATTTAGAAACATATAAGCCTGGGACGGTTTTCGGAGGGTTTCAGGCCTTGACTTTTACAGTAGTAAACAAAAATGTCCCTCTGTCCCTTCAGACCGCTGCTACCCGCAGCCGTTTTCGACTGGGTGGGAGGGCTCCGCCGAGTCCCCGGGACCCTGCGGGGACGCGGCCCCCAACAGAGGTAAGGCTGCGGAGAATCCTCGCACGGAAGGGAAACAGACTAGGACTGAAGTTGCAGAGGGGCAGGAGGCTTCCGAGAAACGGTCCTTCATCTCAGCGACCCCCGGGGCTGGTCCCTCCCTGCCGAAGGAAGAAGTGAGTGGCAAGTCCCCCTCCAAACCCAAGGCAGCTTAACATGATCAAACACACCCAACCACGAGCCGCCTCGAGACCCACCTTTCGGTCCTCCGGAGGGGCTTCCTGCAGGCGCGGGGCCCGGGGAGTCCCGGGGCGGCGGGGCGGTCAGCGATCCCGGCCGGGCCGAGGGCAGGGTCAGCGGGGTCCGCGTCGCGCCGCCCGAGCGGGCAAGGGCGCCCTCTGCGTTCCTGGCACGCCCGCCGGCCGGCGCCTCACATTTTGGAGGTTTCACTCCAACTCCGTCCTGCCCCTGATGTCAGAGGCACAACTTCCTGAATGAGACTCACTCGCTGGGCTGGGCTGGGCCCAAGCTTCCAGGGCGGCCCGCCGACCAGGTGCCCTTGGCCGTGGGCGCACACGCCCCGCGCGCCCCCCGCCCCGTCGCCCCGGGTCCCAGCCCCGCCCCTGCGCGGGGTGCCCCTCAGTCCCTGAGCGCGCCGCCCTCAGGACGCGGCCTCTCCTGCGGAAGGAGCAGTCCGCCTTCGCTCTTCCAGACGCACCAGAGCCCCTAGCGACGTGAGACTAAGTTCTGGGGAGGAGGGTCCCCGGCTTCAATGAATACAGCCCCGAGCAGCCTTCTTGAAAAAGGGGGGTGGGAGGCGTGGGAGAGGGAGGCCACGGGCAGGTGGGGTGAAGCTCCAACGCCTTATCTGCACAAACAGAAACCACCGGTTCTCCTAGTGCACGGCTGCGTGTTCAGGGGTGCACCCAACACCGCCTAGTCCAGGTGCCACTGGCAGTAGGGAAGCTGCCCCAGATGGGGCTGCCAGAAGCAGAGACGGAGGGGAAAACTGCCTTCAGAAAGTCTTCAGAGATTTTCCCCCTGGCACCCTCTGTTATTTGCTCTCTGTTCACATTTTCCTCAGACCTTCATGGATCCCATTTCAAGCCCCTGGAGAGCTAGAAAATTTAAAGGCCTGCGCCAATGTGGAAAGCGGGATTCCAGACACATAGCCTCTGATGACCCAGGGCTGGGGGCTTGTTCAGTGTCTCCAGTGTTACTGTGGAAGGGAAGTGGGGTGAAACCAGGACCTGGCCGTGGAGGGGGTCTCCTCAGAGTCATGTGGGGAGGTCTCTCCATCATACAGACCTGTGATACTGCCTTCTTGACCATTTGCCAGATGCCAGTGCTGAGCTGGGTCTTGCCTTCCACCTACTGTGCTTGAGCGTTGGTGTCCTTTGGCCTCTGTGTGTGGGCGTTAAAGTGACTGGTGCAGCCAACTTTTTCAACTGGGAAACAAGAGATGCCCTTCCACGGGTGCAGGAGAAACTAAATGACTCTGAGCTGAAAGGCCAAAGAAAAAACCTAGCCTTCCGGTCAGAAACGCCAAAGATGATGGCATTTATGGAAACGAGGAGAAAAAAAAGGTTTTTTTCAGTGGAAGATGATTAGATGAGACCCCCTTCCCAGAAATCCAGGTGGAGTGGACTCAGTCTGGATTTGAACATGAAGGGGGATGGTGGGTTCCAGGATCAGGTAGGCTAACATGGAGTCAGGTAGAGTCCGCAGAGATGGGAAATTGGGCTTGAAAGACTCCTTGGAAGTGTCCACACCGAGGGCCTTCCCCCAGTAGATGTGTTTACCAAGCTAGGAAGAGCTCAATCTGTAGTCACACTTGCAGCCTATCACTGACTACCTAGGTAGGGTGGGTTCCTCTAGCACTCTAGCAGCTTAAAGCCGGCATACAGAGTCAAAGAGAGCATTGAGGAATATAGGCATCAGGGCTGGCAATGAGGCCTCTAATGCTGGCCTAAGGTTTTGGAAATGAACATTTCCTTCCATGTTGAGGAAGAACACCAGACACTGTATCAGGAGTTTCCAATATTATTCAGTCTCTCACAATGCATTGCCACATGTAGTATTATCCTCATGTAACAGATGAGTACACTGAGACGCAGAGAAAGTAAGTAACTTCCTCAAAGTCACAGAACTAATAAATGGTGGGGCCCAGATTTGAGTCCAAGTGTTTTGTCCCTTCCCCTCCCCTTAGGCATTGTTTACCTACAATGTCGTCAAGGAGAGGAGGTGGTCACCTCCTGTGGAGGTGCTCCTCTCTTGAGCAGGGTCCATGTTCAGGCCTGGAATGAGGCCTGTTAAGGGGAGGCTATACAAAATACTTCCCTGGAAATCTAGAACCTTCCAGGTTGTGGCCCAAGAGATATGTATTAAGGTTGCTTTTAAGAGAAAACAGGAAGAAACGGAACAAGAAACTGAGCAATTGACTTGAGCGAGGCTATCAGTGGTAGGAAAACAGAGACCTATTCTTAAGGTGGTTTGTCTGTGGTGTGTCATGTCATAAAAGAGGAAAGTTAACAGCTTCTGTGGTGGGGAAATTGGTGACTCACGTGCGAGCAAGGTGTGGACTTGTTCGTGCTGTATGGCCAAGACTGCAAAGTCTGGTGAGGGACTGACACTATTAGGAAAATTATGGAGGAAGACAAGGGGTGAGCACCTGGCCAGAATGTTCTCACTCTGGGTGGGGGATGCATCTCTTAGGAAAAAGCAAGTTAGAATACTCACCTACTATTTTATTCTCCTGGCAGTGAAATCCCAACTCATGAATGGGTCCAGGCAACCGTGGTGCTGTTACATTTTGCTTCATCCTCATTATTTTTCATGCTTTCAGTAAAGATATTTGAAGATAGTCAAGAGGTTAGTTGGCTCTAGATGGAGTGAAATGCAGCATTAACATCTAATTAAGAAAAAAAAAAGAAGCCCAAATAAGCAGATCGGTGAACAGAGACTGAAAATTTGAGTGGCCACCTCCTACAAACTTCAGCACCTGCTCAACTCAGTTTCACATCAGTGAGATGGGGATAAAAGGTATTTCTTCCCTCTCAGATGGTTGCAAAAAGCACTGGGTATTCCATATAGCCTGCTGTGAAAACAAGGACTGACTACACTGGTGTTTCTTTCTTGGCAGTGCCCCGTTTCAGACAGGTTGGCGGCTCACACTATTGACCAGCATCAACCTGTCTGCAGACACTTTCCCGTCAGTTTGCAGACTCCCTGAATCCAGAAGCTGCATTGAATATAATGTGTTTGCACCCAGGACAGTGTTGCCTAGAAATAAGCATATCGTTCAGGTATGGAAAATGTAAAATTGAGAACATTATCTTACTCTCATCTAAAATTGTGGTATTCTTGCCTGTGACCCTGGGGTGTGGGTCTAGAAGCATAAACAGGGCTACAGAACATCACTGACTGGCAGCCAGGATACTCTGAGGAACTGGCTGGAAGTCAGAAGGGCTGTGGACAAGGTGCAGGCTGTGAGGAGGAAATGATCTGCCTATAAATGGTGTGGGTAAGATGAATGGTGTGGGTAAGATGAGCATGGGCTTGTTCACCAGATCCTGAAATACAGCAGCATCTTGGAAACCACCAAAGCAAGTTCAGGACAAGTCAGCAGAAGTACTCCACCACCCAGCAGGTAATGAATTTACAGAATGAGGTATCTCCCACAGGTGGCACAAGCTGAAAACGTAAATGGATTCCTGAAGGGTTTGCTCAGATGTGAGTGGCAGAGCCATAAAGGAGAGCCGCAGGAAGCTGAGATATGCTCCATGCAGCTGGGAGATCAGGGTGGCCCAATAGGCCTCACACTGTGGGTCCGTTGGCTCTTTGTGGGCATGAGTCCTGACCTCGACAGAGCTTGGATTTGAGCCCTGGGTGGCACCAACATTCCCTCCTGAACTCTGCAGCCTCTGTGGCCTGTGCCTCATGAAGGCAGTACGCACTTGCTCTTTTTACCTTAGTGACATATTTTCTGAAGATACTGTCTTTTATTTTTAGTCTCGTGTGTTTAGCAGGTTATCCAAGAAACAGCAAGTTTTCCATCTTAATTATAATCATTTTAGGAAAGTATTTCCTTGTCCCCCCTCCCCGCACACACACCTCCGACCTGTTACAGCCCTTTTAAAATGCATTGCTTTTTCATTTTAGGTTTGGACTTCTAAATGGGTTTTGGGAACCTGTTTTCATACTGGTTATAATATTTATCTCTTGCGATTAGATTTCTGTCCAGGCCTTCCCTCCTAAACTGTCTATTCTGACATAAATTAATTATAAAAGCTCCTCTAAAAAGAACAGTGACAATATACTTTTCTTGGGAGCTTTTTCTAACGGACCATCCTGAATGTCTTCAGTGCTGCAATCAGGGTGCCAGGAAAAATGCTACTTTTATGGCTGTAGATCCAAATCGTGGCACTGGGGTAAATTAAGGAGCTCTTGGATGTCTCCTCCGATAATCCACATGTCTCCGAACGCATACCAACTGTCCCTGTCTTCTATGAAGTTCGTGCTTTTTTTTCTTTAGCGTTCCTGTAAGTTCTAGAGATAGAGCACCCCTTCCCCTAGTGGGACTGCTGGGTGGTGCTGGTGTGGAAGGCCCTTTGTTTATACTTCTGGGGCATGAAGGGTCTCAGTTTTCATTTCCTCTTCCTGGTGCACAGCCCCCCAGATTTGAATCTTGAAAGCCAAATTTACAGTACGACTGCTGGCAGTTGTAAACTGACCAGTACTACTGTTCAGTGCTCTTTATTGGGATTCAGCCTCGGTTTTGTTCCAGTGTAAACAGGGAGCCTCCCGATTTCATTTTTCTGATGGGGTCTCAGGGCAGAAAAGAGCCCCAGAGTTCTCACCGCACCTCTCTTGGTGGTTTCCCTTTGGGTCTTCTCTTGGGATGGGTTTACTGACCAGCTTATTGAGTGAGCCCATCCTGTGGGTTTCACAGGACATTTACATGGATTAGGTAAAACATGTCTTGTCACTTTGTCAGAAAGACATCTGGGAAACCCCAGCTGGCCTTGCCCAGCACGTTCATTCTGGCAGAAGTTTTTGTGAAGGCTAAAATTGTTTATTTCTCTTACCTGGAGGTCCCACAAAGTAATTGTGTCTTTGAAATTACGAAGGAATTGATCAAGTCACTGAGTCTTGTTCAACGTTGCCACAAACTTCCTCTCCCTAGGCTGGCTGTTTCATAACAGGTAGGAGAAACGGCTGACAAGAACATAAAGTAATTTAATAGCCTTCATTTACTAAGTTGCAGAAATGCACTCATGCCGTCTCTGTTTGAACTGCCATGGACTTATTGCTTTCTGTGTGCCAGGCACCATGCTAAGTAGCTTATGTGCATTGTCTTTAAATTTCTAACAATGCCATGAGGTACTATTATACCAATCTAATAGATGAGGAGACTGAGATTTGGAAAACTTAAAAATTTATCAAACGCAAGTAGATTGTAGGCAGGGATTCCAATAAATAGTTAGAAACACATTTATTTGGCACACATGCAAAGTGTGATATATATACAAAAATGGATGAGACTCTAGTCTGGTGGAATTTAGTCTAGAGTCTAGTTTCAACCCAGAATTTTCTGAATTCAGAGCTCTCCACTGTCACCCACATTCAACTGGGCAGGTTTGGGAGGCAGCCTCTGTGTCTGTGGGACACAATCAAACCAACTGATTCTGGGGTAGTAACAACAACAATACTAATGGAGCTTACACATAATTTTTGGTTTACAAAGACATTTCACATGTAATACTTTATTTAACCCAACTTTCATTAGGAGGGCAGGATAGGGGAGAAGTTGGGGCTGGACGAAGCTGGTTGCACACAGTAGGTGCATAATTGGATGAGAACCAAGGTTCTCTGGCTTGTAGGCCAGTGGTCTCCAAATTGCTGTATACAGGATGAATGATACATTCCAGGAACACTTGGTGGCGTATAGACCTACTGGTCATGTGAAAGTACCTAAAGCAAATCCTAATCTGATGAACTCAAGCAGAATCTGGAAATCAGCCTCGGAGGGAATTCCTGTACTTGGAAAAGCATGACTATAAAAATGCTTCTCAGACTTTTCCACCAGACTATCCCTAAAAGGTAGGAAATTGTTGTTGTAGCAAGACATTATTTAGTATCTGTGGCTTCATATACACTTGACATATTTCTCCATATACCTCCAGGGATATGGATTCCCCAGTTTGAGAATCATAGGATCAGATGACATATGAAACTTATCAGAGGCTTTGCTCTAACCGTGGAGAAAGCCATGGAGGCTTTCTCCATTTCTCCAGTTGGTTAGAAATGTCCTCTAACCAACTGAGCTAATCAATACAACCCAATGGAATATCATCCATCCATACCTGCTGGCAAATATTTATGAAGAACCTACTATAACCTGTGCATTGTGCCCTATGATGTAGCCTTTAAGGGATTTACAATCTAATGTGGAATTGACCCATGAAATGATTAGCAGATGTTAGAAAGCTGTTTATAATAAACTGCTAAGTTTTATAATTTGGATTTAAGGGCAGTTGGGCCAAAATATTTCATGGAAACATTCCTAATAGAGGTGGGTTGCCAGAATCTAGGATATGCAGAATTTGAAGATGGGTAAAGTGAGTGAAAGTCTTCTTGGTTGGCATTGAAAAAGGTGTAGAAAAGAAATAAACATGGTGGAACTTTTTGTAAATAGCATTAATCATTTGATGATCCTTTCTCAATCTCTCTCTCTACTGTACAAAACTAGGGAAAGACTCAAAAATATGAAAGAGAAAAACAAAATATCACCCATAAGCCTGGTGACCAAAGATAACCACTGCCATATTTGGATATGAGCTCTTCTAATCTTTTAGAAGAAGGTGAGAAATTTGTATGTCAGTAGTTGGGGGTCACTGCATATTTTCAACAATGGACTGACCACTCTCAAAGAAAGCTAGTCTTGTGGCCTTTTGTAGGATTTATTGGAAGTTGGAAACACTAGGAGATTGGAGTCAGAAACTCCATCCTGGTAGAACACCACTCTGTCCTCTAGTCCCTGTCTTTAAAATAATGAACTAAATAACTGGTTGCCTAGATCAGTGGAGAGCTCTGCGTTGAGCGGATTTGAGAAGAAGCTGCACCTCTTGGCAAGATACTGAAGAAGGGATTGCTCCACGTGGTGAGAGGACTTAGGAGCCCATATAACCTCTTCCAACCCCAAGATTCTAACGATCTTACATCGTTAATTGTGAAAATTCACATCAAAGAGGTTATGATGCTGTGTTTTTTCTTGTGATTCCACAGCAATTGATTTGCTCAATAATGTTACTGAGTAACATGGTAAATGTTATTGGGAGATATAACTCAATTATCTTTGAGGTGCTGGGGTTAAGTTCTTGTATGGTTTAGCTCTGCTATGTGTCTTGCCATGTTATTATTTGAGAACTACGCTCATGTGGGGCAACCCCTACCCCTACCCAATCTCTACCTGTCTAGGTCCCAACTCAGCCACCATCTCCTCTGAAGAGACCTTGACCCTCCAAGACTGAGGTAGAAGCACGGGATGCTCTGCTTCCCCTCAGCGAATCCTAGGGTTTCCCCTCAGGCATCCTAGGACCGGCCCCACAGGAATGCAGCTGCCCGAATGCTCTGTGTGAGTGGGCGGTCCGGTGAGGCGCTGGACACGTTTGCGGCCAACTGGAGCCCTGGGCCTGGCCACACCTGGGAGGCCGTGGAGGCTTTCTCCAAGCCGGGAGCGCACACGCTCTTGCTCTGCCCTTACTCCTCGTTCCTCCCTTCCTCAGGCCTGCTTTGGGGTCTACTTTTCTGTATCCTCTCAAAGGACTGAAGATGCAGTCAGGACTCTACAGGAAAAGGCACACAAGAGGGAAAGAACATAATTAAAGGTAACATGGGGTCAGGGAATGGTGAGGCTAAACAGGCACCTCTGAAATCAGAGCAGGTATACACTTTGCCTAAAGGCACTGTGACATTCATAAGAAAAGGACCTTTCTGCCCTCCTCTGTGGTGGCCTTGGAGCTCCCTTCTCACAGCGTCCAGTCCTGTTCCAGGCAAACAGAAAGGAGCAAGCACAGCTGCCATCATTCCGCACCTCCCTTCCTCAAGCTCCTGATGATGCCAGCTGTCCGCAAGTGCTTATTGAAAATTCTCGACACAGGGTTTAAGCCTGGAAGATGCTGGATATGAGTTCCTGTGGGATGCACACAGGTTCTAGCTAGAGCCTGAAATGAGAGAAAAAGGTCTCTTACTTAAAAGCTTATCTTTCACTCCTCTGACGGAGTCGCTAGGCAACACAGTTTTCAGTGGCTCTAAAAACCATGTGGGTAAAAGATGATTCATTTCTATATATGGCCAGAAAAGAGCCCAATCACCAGACTGCTTCCTGGTGGACGCGGTTCAGTTTTTCCAGACCTGCAGACTCCGGCGACTTCCAGGCTGGACCTTGGTTTCTACGGCCTGCATGTAGTTAGGTTCTGCAATGGAAAATTTGACTCCCAGTGTGACTGCCCCTACTTGTCCTTGTCCCCCACACCCTCCACCCTTGTGGCTCCTCCCTCAGAAAGCTGCAGTTAAAAAGCAAGTAATGAAGCTCTCACAGCTGCAGCCTGCTAAGAATAGAAAGTTTGTTTATTTTTATGTTCATGAAACCCTTTTCCTGCTGTGGCTGTTGCTATAACTCCCGGGCAGGAATGGGAAGGACTGTGCGCTGGTCACTGGCCAAGTGAATTCTGTCCTATGTTGGGGGCTCAAATGGAAGCCTCTTTGGGGCCAGAGGATTTGGTGATCTGTTTTGATTTTCAAGCCTCTCCCCTCTTAGCTGACACCTGCCCTCCAGAATCTGGGGCATAGGTATCTTGTTTTTTAAGTGATCTGCGTGAATGTACTTCCTTTTAGAGACAGACACTGGGCTTGGAGGCAAGAAACCTGCATCTTTCTTCCTTGCTCTGTGACCTTGAGCAAATCACAGCCTCTTTGACCCTCAGTTTCTTCTTCTATAAAATAGGGATAACAGTATACACCCAGAACTCAAGTGTAATAATAGATATGAAACAACTTTGAAAAGTTCAAGATAATTGCAAATGGATTGTTTTCCACTCTTGCTAACAAACCCAGGCTTCTCAAGTGTGTCCAAAAGATATTGATTCCCTTTGCCACAAAGGGCTTCTGAGTCCTCACTTCCAAAAGGTGGAGTAGAAGGGGAACAATAGAACTGTGCATAGGGAGGTATATTTTGAACATAGTTCCTTTGAGATACACAAAAACAAATGCATGTTGAAATACCTAAGAGGTGATCTAGGATAGAGCAAGGAATCCTGGATGAGGATTTGGGAAATCGAGGAAGGGAGCCCTTCAGCATTCTATTTGCTTACTGTGGGCTCTGGAGCTGCAGTCCTACTACCATATGTCTTCTCTCCCTTCACGTAATGTAGAACTGTGATTAATAGTTGGTCTTTCCAGCTAGAAGGTATCTCCACTTGCTCAGCCATTTAGATCACTAGATTAATACTACATAGGGCCTGTCACATGTTTTCCAGTCTCCTGGAGTGTCATCACTCTGGATTCTAAGGGCAGATCAGTGTGGGATGCATCTTTGACTCACCCAGAGCTGCTATGACTATTGTGTTTGCTTGTTTTCTGTGAGAACCTGGCATACCCAGCGCGGGTCCTGGAACCTGGGTCACAGAGGGTACCTGTAACCTACATGCTTCTCTGTCCTACACAACAGAATAACAGCTTCAGCTGATGGAAGCAGAAAGGGAATTTATTTAAATTAAATTTTAAGTATGTTTTAAAGTTAAGTTAAAATTAAACTTAATTTTAATTAAGATTTAGGGGCTCGGGGACTTGGTTGGATCACTTTAAAAAAAATTTTTTTTCTCATTGAATTTAGCATTTTGTAAAGTTATGAATGTAGACAACAAACTGGGTTCCTATGATGTTAGCTTCTTCAGAAATCATAGATATTTTCAAGTCACATATTTCAGGTGTTGCAGACATTCCAAAAATATTGTTTCCACTCATTACTTCTGGGTACCATCAGTTATTAGATCTGCCACTGGATTTATTTAATGTACTAATTAAAAAAGCACACAAATTATGTTATCATATATTTGTTTAAAATATATATTTTTTTACTGTATTTCAGCACAATGGGCTTTGATGTATTTTATTTTGTGCATTTAACATCATTCTTTATATTCTTCATAGGCTTCACCAGACCACCAAAGGGCTCTGTAGCAAACAAAAGGTTAAGAACTCCTTGACCTACAGCATATTGGCTGCTCACAGCAGCATTTGCTATGCAATTTTTAGGGCCCAGTGAAAAATGAAAATGTGAGGCCTCTAGGCCAAAAATTTTTTGAATTAGAAGATGGACAGCAGAGCATTAAAGCAAGCCCAGGACTGTGCTGAGCCTGGGGGCTTGTGTGACTACACAGGTTACTGACCCATGAAGTAGGTGCTGGCTCATAGAATTTCCAGAAAAGTCAAAGGGCCAGGTTCAAAGGCAAATTCCCATGCAAATTGTGCTGGAGAACTGGTACAGTAAAGGCCCAGTGCTGCTCTGCTGAGCAAGAATCTGCCACCACCAGTATGTCAGTAAGCAGGATGGAGCCGTCCCTGGTGCCAGTGTGGATTCTCTATGACTCCTGCTTTTTTGTGTGACTTGTTTACAATTTAAAGTCTGGACTAGGCACATTTGATTGGTCTGGCCTAGTTCACAGCCAGCCCCCCAGCTGCAAGGGAGGCGAGTAAGCAAATAGCTATCCTGCTAACCTCCATAGAGGGAGACTAGCTCTACTTCACAGGGACAGGGACACTTCAAGCATAGAAAAAGGGCTCAGATGTTAAGTGGCCAAAAAGCATGAAAAATGTCCTTGACAGTATGCACACACGCAAGGTACCCTGACCACTTCTGAAGAAAACCCATGGGCTGGCAAGAACCTTGGGGAGAAGAAGCTCTATGAGAGAGACTGCATACTGAGACATTTCAAATTTCTGGGACATTTGGATGTTTTCTAGAATCAGTAAGGCAGAATATGTGGACTAGGAAAATTCACAACCTATGGAGGTAGGACATAAAAACTTGGGACTTTCACCAAATATGCTCTATGTGCTAGACCAGAGAATGCCAGGAAGACAGATGGGCTCCATGCAGTGAGTCAAAGACCCACGTGATGACAAGGTCTTGCTAGCTTGAGAGTTTCCTTAGAGCAAAAGACAGTGCATCAAAGTGGATGTACTTTAAGTTGGGTCAAGACAAGGGGAGCAAAGGTTGCTCTCGAAATGAGCCACCACGTGGCAGTGCACAGTATCCGTTGGTGGACAGGGGCTGGGCCCCAGCCTCAGCTCACGGCTCATTGTGTCCCGTATCACTCTTGCTTTAAAGTAACCCAGTAAGTAAAGCATGGGCTTTCCTGTCTTCCTATCCCTACAGAGTGATGGGTGTGCTGTTCTTTAAAAAGTGGCACAAGGATAGAGGGTTTGGAAAGAGCCCAGCAGACTGCAAGCTGCTCTCTAGAAGTGAGGTTCAGGTACCCCAGTTCATTGTCAAGGTGCTCAGCCATCTGGCAGGTCCTTAGGAGGCCAGGAACACGGGGAGCCCTGCCTGACAAGACAGATCAGCTGTCCTTCCACCCAGAGGGACCCCTGTAAGAGTTCCCCTGAGGGGCTGGCAGCAGCTGCCTGCAGGGGTATCCTGAGGAGGAGCAAAGGGAGATGCCCCACGCCCAGCTCCTGACTGTCAGGTGCTCTGCAACCATGTCCTTTATTCTCCACAGGGAAGCCTGGAAGGAGTGCCATGATCTCCATTTTATAGCCCAAATCCTAGAGCCCACGGCTCTCGTTACCTTCCCACCGTGTTACCTTGAGGAGAAAAGGCACTGGCCACCATCTTTTGGTCGATTGCTGGTAAGAGGCTGGGGACTTCTGTCCTTTCAATATGCTTTTTGTGGTGGAAGAGAGCAATGATCCCTACCAAACAAAGGTTCTTCAGCAAAGAAATCTTGACTTACTGTTATTATTTGCCATTTTAAAACTAATTTTTTGAATAAACTCTGGAGTCATTTTAGATTTACAAAAAAGTTGCAAAGATAAATAGCTTTCATTCAAAGATGAAATAGCTTAGTGATGTTAATGTCAACATCTAATGTAAGCAAGGTGCACTTGTCAAAGCTAAGAAATTAACATTGATATTATTCCAGTAACTGATTTATGGACTCTTTGGATTTTATCAGTTTATCCACTAATGTACTTTTTTTGGGGGGGGATCCAATTTAGGATACCACAGTGCTTTTGGGAAATCATGAATTTTAAGAGAACTTTCAGAATGCCAATGGAGGGTTTGACCCAGGATGAAAACAGTTTGATTTCTATTTTCCTTCATTTTTCTTACCAAAATGCTTTGAATACTAAGTGCTCTTTAAAGTTTTTGTGGCCTCAATGAACTCTTAGCTGCTTCCTTGGGCTATTATGCCAGACAAGCTCAAGTGGCTTGAGGATTTTGGAATAAACATGCAGGAAAATTGCAGAACATTGTGGTCTTTGATTGGAAATATTGGATATCCAAGTCTGTTTCTCGCCCAAGTTCTAAGCACTAAAAAACAGGATGCTTGTCACTCAGACCTCTACCTCACATCCTTCTGCAGAGCCATGTGAGTTTCAGCTCAGAGTCTTGCTTTGTGCTGAGAGCAGAAGGAAAGAAAAGAAGGCGAGGTAGTGTGTGAACTCAGTTGGTGTCCCTGGGTCAATCTGTCCATTGCTCGTAGCACCAGGCTTGTGCTGGTGACATTCCAAGTCATGGTGTGTCGTGTATTTGTCTGGGCTTCTGCTTGTTAATTGGGTGTCTTTGTTAATATAGTTTGTTTTTTCTTCAAATAGAACTAAAAATGCAGTTGTAGTTCGGTATTCTTGAGTCTGACAGGTTGCTTTTTATAGTCTACAGTCCTAGTGCTCTTGGAAATCTGCAAAATTTCAGGAGCTAGGCAGCTGGTGGCAGGGGACTCTAGTGGAGGGGACCCTGTCAATGGTTATATGGAGCTGAGATCCCACAGAATATAGTGGGTATCAGTTATCTATGGGGCTTCTTCAGATGGATAGAGCATAAGCATAAGTGCTTCACTAATAATTTAGCTCCTCATTCCCAATCTTTATCTATCATAATATAAAAGTATATTACACAACCATATGTATAACTCTATCCATCTGTCCTTAAAGCCCACCTAACTCTTAGGGCTTACTTTTACAATAGTGGTAGCATTGATCATGAGTCAGGAAGCCTACCATACTTTTTACATATTTTCATTTTGTATAATTTTTCATAACTCCATGTGATAAATACCGTTATTATGTTCACATTTAGAAAATTAAATTAAGAAACTTAATTTCATTCAAGGTCAAATAGGTATGAATAGTGAAGCCAGGACTTGACTCAGAGCTGTGTAACTCCAACTCCAAATCCAGTATTCTTATAACCGCCTTGCTGTGCTGAGCCAGGAAATATGGATGGTTGGTAAATATGCATACGCTTTTCCAGGCTGTGACACCATATTGCACTTGTAAGCAAAAATCACTCAAGTTCCAGAAATCAATAATCTACATCATTTATTCACGTCTGCTACATGCAAAAGTCTGGGCTTGATACTGAAGGGAATGGAGAAGAGAAGAAAGTTTGCAAAGTGCTGAAGTGGAAAGAGCCCAAGAGAACTGAATTCTCAACTCAGTGCTATCACTGATTGGTTTAGCCACATCTTGCAACCTCTTTAGGCATCAGATGATTTATTTGTAAAGTGAGCGAGGAGGTGGAATGAGGGGAACTCAAAGGTCCCTGTTGGGTCTTTTATTCTGTCCCCCCAGCTTTGTGACAGATGTGACATAGGATAAATGCCAGATGTCAGCCCTGCCCTCAAGGATCATGAAACAAACCCTTCATACACATGAAATAAATACAGAAAAGTAGTGTTAAATTGTGAATCACAGGACGTGAACATCACTGGCAGGAGTTTACTTGACCTCTTATGTACTCAGCGGTTGTAGGGATGAAAGACCTATGCCACAATTTCTGCCCTTAATAAGTGTACAGATTAGCTGGGAAAACAGGACATAAGCCCTTGGAACAATGACTAATATGAGACACTAGATAATCAAGTGCTAAGTTGTGTTGTATAGTCATTGTGTGATAATGGTGAAATGATAGCAACCAACATTTATTGACTTTATAGGTGAGTGTGAAAGTTTTAAGGCGTTCCAAAAAACTCTCAGTGATCAAGATACTTCAATGCAATATTTTTTTTAATGAAAAAAAATGCATAATGAACAAACCATCAAGATATTAAGTAAAGACAAGCTCAGTAGTATTAACTTTTCCTTTGGTCTCAGGCTGAAGTAGGCTCAGCTGTACTGCATGCTACTGAGCCTCAGTGGTTTATAGTCACTGTTTTGTCCTCACAATGATCTTTATGATTCGATTTTACTAGTAGCATCACTTTATGAATGAGAAAGCTGAGGCTTACAGAGCTCAAGTCACAGAGGTGGTAAGGGACAGGGATGGGACTTGAACCCAGGTCTTTGACTTTATAATCCATGCTTTTAAACACTGCCTTATATGCCCATACAAATACACAGACAGCTCACTGCCCCAGTAGAAGGCTGTGCCCCAGTGTTGCTGAGCTGGGGGTGGACTCTGCTGGGGCAACCCTAAGGTCTCCCTGGGTGGGGGGCTCAGAGCAGCTGCACTCCTCACACCTGTTACCTACCAGCTGGAACCCTTGGGGGCTCTTCTCCCCCTGCCCAGTAGGTTCCACATGGCTGAGAATCATTGCCGTGGGGCTCCATCTAACACCAAAACTCCGGGATACATGTCCTACTTGTTTCATCCAGAAGTAGGGAATCCAGGGTGAAGCCCATCCAGATTGTGCTTTCTGCCTGATCCCACAAATAGGAGAGGCTCTGTAGTGTTTATCATTATCTCACAGCAAAGGAAACCATGCTGAATGCAGAACCTGTCTTAGAAATGTGTGTTATCTCAGACCCCCATCTGCAGTGCTGAGCTCTGTTTCCGGGCAGGAAGTGAAACCACAGAGGGCAAGGCAAACCTTGCTTTTTAAGTTACACCTTTGGGAGTAAGCAACTGTCTTGGGTTTTACATCCAGCACACATGTGCCCAAGGTGGTGAGCAAAGACACTGACCAGATGGGCGTGTGGGGCATTTCAACTGAACCGTGCTATTTGGGCCCCAATTCCACCCATGTGCTTTTGGGGACTTATGGGTTGGATTTCTGCTTCCTGAGACAATTGGTTGTTAGTACCAGAGGCTTGAGATCACTAGATGGGGGGTAAAAAGGAGGAGCTGTAAACTGTCAGAATGGGAACTGACTTTAGAGGTTAGTGAGTCCAGGTCTTCATTGACTGGAGAGGAGTCAGAAGCCCAGATAAATCACGTGACCTTGGGAAAGGTCACATAACTGTTTTGTGGCAAGCATGGGAAATGAAATTGAGTAGATGCATTTCAAAGTGACAATTTTAATGCAACTGTAGGGACATTTTGACGATGCCTAAGAAATGCAGTTTGTAACAGCCCAACCGATTCTTTCACCATATGCTTTGGTCTCACTTTGGCTTCCTTGGGAAGACAGACTGAGATCATTTAGTGGCGCCCATGGGGGAGGCTCACTGCGGCATATTGCCTATTTGTGTAGCAGGAATAAGGTCCTCTGTAATGCACAGGACCCTGAGGTGTTGTGGGTCTCTTCACAAACTGGCATGTCTTGTCTTGTTTCTTTATCTTGATAGAAAATGTTCTACTTTCAGATTGTGGAAGAAAGTGCCTATGTTAGGTCCCACAGTGTGCGAGGCTAACTCCTGTACTACTCACAGTTCTACTGTATATCTGAAAGTTCCAAAATATTTTATGTCTCCAAGATGTTGGTGTTTTTTTGGGGTGGGGAGGAGGCCGTTGAGGTGCCCACAGTGGGAAGTTGCATCCCCCATCCTTCAGCCTTCTTCCCATCCCTCCCCAGGACCGTCATAATTGTGGGTGGCCTGTCGCATATGGGTGCAGGAAACTATGAGGTGCAAGACATTGTTTCATGACCATTTAATGGCCTATAACCAAGGACAATTCCAGGTGTTTAATTTAACAATAGTAGGTGAACCTGATGAGTTCATAGAATAGGGAGTGTAAGTTTGTGGTGCATGCGTCAGTAAAATGAGAATAATTATTTGCTGACAATTTCACAAGGGTAGTAAGATATGTATATACTTCCTCTCTCTCTACATTTATATGTGTAAACATATATATAAAATAGTAGACAGACAAACATCATGTATAACATAAATGCCCAGTTCTTATGTAACTACCCAGTTCCCTGATTTCGCCCCTTTACTTGGACTTTGAGCCTTTGTCCTGCCTGGACTGCCCTTACCCTCTTGGTGTTGTGAGCATCTTATTTTTGAAGGTTCAGCTCAACTGTTACTACCCCTGAGATTAGGATTATCTCCCTCAGGAAATGGACTGCTCTTTTCTTTGTGCCACCATGTATATGCCTCAAGTATAGCTGATCACTCTCCACTTGCAGCTGTTTATTTATGTCTACCTCTCTCCTTGAGGATGGGGCTCATGATCCATCCATCTTGGTGTCCCCGAGCCTAGCGTGGCACCTGGCACTTAGTAAAGGTCAGTAAGTAACTGATAGGTGTACCATGTCTTCAGGACGATGATGCTCTGAAAGTGTCCCAGCAGGTGCTCCAGTCACGGGTGAGTGGCGGCCTGGTCTCCTGCTCCCTGGTCAGGTGGGAAGAGGGGGCAACAGCCATCATGAATACATACACCCCTTGGCACCTGGAACACTTTTGCTTCCAATTTTGTAATTTTGCCAGCAAGATGACAACATGTTGGGTACTGTGTTCATATAAACTTGCAAAGGTAAAAGAAAATCTGATTTTTTTCCAAATGATTTCCAGTTTCCTTTACTATGGCTTTTAAAAAATGAAATACTTATTGAAGCATAGTAATTATTCTGTGCTGACTCCAAATTACCTGGTTATGCTGTTATCTGTTTCCGTCTCTGTGATTTTACACTTTGACAATACATTTGCCAGTCAACAAGTATTTATTGAGAGCCCTGCAGGGTATATAACATTTTTTAACACATATCAGCTTTTCTAAAGTATTCTCTTGGTGATCTAACTTTGGCAGCTTATACAGTTTAAATGAGAAAAATATTTATATGCCCAGGTATTATGCTCTACAGTTTACATACATTATCTTATTTGATTCTCACACCTGTCTCCTGTGTAGGTGGTCTGATCCCTATTTTACAGTTAAGGACATGGATTCAGAGACGGCAGGCTCTGGTTACTAGCAAAGGGTCAAGCCAGGGCTTTGTACTCAGACCCATCTGAAGCTAAAGCCCACATTCTTTCTCCATGCATTATTTTCTTATTACATTAAACTATCCCAAAGGCAAAAGTATGGAATGATTACAACCAAAAGTAGATTTTAAATTCTTCAAGGCTGGAACTGTACAAAAATAAGTAATGTGCCACTTGATGATTCTGACTTGTCTTTGTGTCATTTTTCCACCTTTATGTGAGAAACAGGACTCACACTGGGGATTCCTCTCTCAGCAGCTGGAAATGATGTGATGATTTCTCCCCCCACACCTTCCGTCAGCACCAAAGAATGATTTACAGGATCTAACCCCAAACTGAAAAGCTGTACAGTGATGTTCATGATTCAAGCCACATATTTATTCTTTTTTATTTGTGCTCCTTATAAAAGGTTTGTATATCTTTCTGTTCTCTCTCTCTCTCTCTCTCTCTCTCTCTCTCTCTCTTTATAGAATGTCCTGGAGCAAAGTAAAAAAAAAAAAACCTATGTTGTGTAATTTACAAAGTATTTCAAGGTCACTCAAGGTTCATTCACTCAATTAAGCATTTTGTTTATCAGCGAATTTGAGCTCTTTGATGTGTCTATGGAGTGTGTGAAAAATGCACAGCGTCCATTCTTGTACAACTCTTAGGCAAGCATGCATACAGCTGACTACAAGACCACATATTTAGTCCATGTTAGTCCTGTGGACAAAGTCTAAGGGACTTCAGGAGACTGAGAATTGAATTTTAGTGGGGGAAGGATGAGAAAAGGGTAGAACAAGGAACCGACAAAATGGAGGAGTTGCCTGAGCTTGATATTCAGTCATTCCATAAACATTTACTCGACCATCACCTATGTGCCAGGCACAATTTGAGGCACCAGAAATGCAAAGATGGATCTTACACAGTCCCCATCCTCAAGGAGCTCACAGACCAAAAGAGGGCAAACAAAATGTCAGCAACTGAGTGTTAGATAGCAAGACTGATGTATAAGTTGAAGTGCGACTGCCCAGAGATGGTGCATTCTTTCTGGTCTGTGCCTTTAAGGTGAGGAAGAGGCAAGAACTTCTAGAGGAGGTGGGTTGTAGTTGACTTTTGGCAACTATGAAAATTCTTTGATACTTTGAAACTACGATGGTGTTGGGGGGCAGAGTGAGCAGACAGGGAAGCGTGGAATAGCAAGGCACAGTCAAGGAAAGCCAAGCAGTCAGAAACTGGAGGGACAAGTGTGTACAAGTGGGCAGCGCTGAAGAGTGCGTCTGGGTTGGTGGACAAGGAATGGCCTTGAATATGAAGCTAAGGAGCTTTGATCCTCTAGGCTTTGGAAAATCATGGTAAGATTTTTAAACAAGAGAATGATATCAGAATGACATTTGAGTGTATTTATATCAAATGTAAATGGCAGTGAATGTTAAATGAAAATTTAAGATTATTATTGAAAAAGTTTTTTTCTAAAGCATTTATAATTTTGTATTAAATTTAAGAGGAAAACACAGATTTTAAATAATAAATGTGTTTTTAAGTAGATTTTTTCATGTTGAGGTAATTGTAGATCATGAGAAATACTATAGAGAGGTCCTATGTAATCTTTATCCCATCTTCTCCAATAATATGATCTTATAAAACTGCAGTACCCATCCATCGATACAGTTAAAATAAAGAATATTTCTATCAACACAAGAATCCTTCATGTTGCCCTTTTACTGGCCACACACTCACCTCTCTCACTCATTCACTCCTTCCTCCCTGGAAATGTATCATGTTTTCCTTTTTAGGATGGTGCTTTTTGTGTTAAGGCTAAGAACTCTTTACCTAGCATTAGATCCTGGATATTTTCTGCCATTTTTTTCTAACAATTTTGTGTTTTACAGTAAAGTCTATGCTCCATTTTGAGTTAAATTTTGTATAAGGTGTGAGATTTAGATCAGAGTTCTTTTTTTCTTTTTTTGCTATGGATGAATAATTGCTCCAGTATCATTTGTTATAAAAGCTGTATTTCCTCATTTGAGCTGCTTTTGCACCTTTGTCAAAAATCACCTGGGTGTATTTGTGTGGGCTTATATCTGGGCTGTTTGTTTATTCTGTTCCACTGATCTGTGCATCTATCTCTCCACCAATATCACACAGTCTTGATAACTGTAGCTACACACAATAAGTCTTGGAATAGAGTACATTGAGTCCTACCTTATTATTTTATTTCAAATGGCTTTAGCTATCCAAGTGTCTTGGCCTTTCCACATAAATTTTAGAGTGATCTTGTCTATATCTACAAAAAGTCTTGCTGGGATATTGATAGGAATTGTATTAAACCTGTGTAATAGTTTGGGAAGAACTGATGTCTTTACTATTTTAGGTCTTCTAATCCATGAATATAGTATGTTTATTTGTTTAAATATTCTTTGATTTTTTAAAATAAGCATTAGGTTGTTTTCAGCATATAAATCCTATAAATGTTTTATTAGATTTACACCTCAGTATTTGCTTTTTTGGTATGATTTTAAATAGTGTTGTATTGTAATTTAGATGTGTTCATTTCTAGTGTATAAAAAAATGATGGATTTCTAAGATACTTATTTTGAATCCTCTGACTTTTCAAAATTCACTTATTTGTTCTACGAGTGTTTTAAAAATAGATTCCTTGGGATAGTCTGTAGATAATCATGTCATCTGTGAATACAGATAGTTTTATTTCATAGTTCATTGTTTTCTAATCTGTATGCCTTTTATTTCCTTTGCTTCTTGCATTGGCTAGAACTTCTCGCATTTTAAATACGAGTAGTGAGAGGAGATATCCTTGCTTTGCTACAGATCTTAAGGGAAAAGCATGCAGTCTTCACTACTAAGCATAATGTTAGTTGTAAGTTTTTGTAGATTCTCTTAATCAAATTAAGATAGTTTCCTATTCCTATTTTTCTGAGACTTTTTGTCATGAATGAATGTTGACTTCCATCAAATTTTCTGTTTTGATTAATATAATCATGTGTTGGTCTGTTGATTGGTGGCTTACCTCAGTTTCTTTTCAAATATTGAATTAGCCTCGCATCCCTGGAATAAATCCCACTTGGTCATGGTATATAATTATTTTTCCATATTATTGAATCCTATTGCTAATATTTTGTTAAGTATTTTTGTGTCTAAATTCATAAGGAATGTTGGTTTGTAGTTTTCTGTTTATGTACTGTCTTTGCCTGGCTTTGTTATCACAGTAATACTAGCTATAGAAAATGAATTGGGAAGGGTTCCCTCCTCTTCTATTTTCTGGAAGAGAGTTTGAAAAATTGGTGTCAATTCTTCATTATGTATTTGGTAGAATTCTCCAGTGAAACCATATAGTCCTGGAGATTTCTTTTCTGTGAGTTTTTAAATGAAAAATTCAATTTCCTTAATAGTTCTAGGGGTATTCAAATGACTTATTTCATTTTGTGTGCGTTGTGGTAGTTTATATTTTTTGAGGAATTGGTCCAAATGTCTATTAGCATGTAGATTTGTTTATAGTATTCATTTGTTATCCTTTTGATGCCTGCAGGTGGAGAGATAGACGCACATCATTGTTCATGATGTCAGTAATTTGTGTCTTCTCTCTTTATTCTTTCTCAGTCTTGCTAGAATAATGCCAATTTTTTTGGTCTTTTCAAAGAATCAGCTCTTTGTTTCATTGATGTATCAATAATTTTCTAATGAATCCATTTAGTGTTATAAATCTATCTTTCAGTACTGTTTTACCTGTGCCCTATAAATGTTGATATGTTGTATTTTCATTTTCATTCACTGCAATGTTTTTTAAAAATTTCTTTTCAAACTTCTTTGACCCATGAGTTATTTGGAAGTGTGTTGTTAAATTTCCAAGTATTTGGAGATTTTCCTGTTTTCTTTCTGTTATTGATTTCACTTGGGTCAGTTTGATTCCACTGCAGTCAGAAAACATACTATGTATGATTTTGGTGCTGTTACATTTTATTAGGGTTAGTTTTATGGCCCGGGCTATGTTCTATATGTTCTGTGGGCATTCAAAAAGAATGTGCATTCTCCTGTTGTTGGGTGGAGTGTTCTATAAATGTGTATTAGATTCTGTTGTTTGATAGTGTTGATGAATTATTCTATATCCTTAATGATTTTCTGCCTAGTTATTATAACAATGATTGAGAGAAGGGTGTTGAAGTCTCCAAACAGAAATGTAAATTTATTTGTTTTTTTCTTTCAGTTCTACCAGTTTTTGCTCCATATATCTTGCAGCTCTGTTGTTTGGTGCATACATATTTAAGACCACTATGTCTTCTTGGTTAATTGACACTTTCATCATTTTTAACATCTACCTTTGAGTCTGGTAATTTTCTGTGCTTTGAATTTTCTCTACTTTATCTGATATTAATATAGTCAACCTGCTTCCCTTTGGATAACATTTGCATTATATATTTCTTTCTATCCTTTTACTTTCAACCTGCTTATATTGTTATATTTGAAATAAGTTTCTTGTAGAAAGGATATAGGTGGGTCATGTTTTTAATCCACTCTCCCTATCTCTGTCTTTTAACTGCTATATTTTGATCATTTTCATTTAATGTAAATATAGGGCTGAAGTCTTTTTTGTTTTCTCACTCTTCTCTCTGTTTTCTCATTTCTTTATTTTATTTTTCCTTCTTGTAAATTACTTGAATGTATTTTATAACTCTATTTTGATTTTATTTCTTTGTTGACACTTTCTGTTTCTTTGCTGGGATTCTGTATTCTTATTTGTTTCATACATGTTCATAATTGTTTGTTGAAGCACTTTTAATAGCTTCTTTAAAATCTTTGGGCCTGCTTTAAAGTACTTGTGATATCACTCTAATTTCTCTTTCATCTTAATGTGGGTATCTATTAATTATCTTTTTTTCATTCAGTTTGAGATCCTCCTGGTTGTTATAATAAGTGGTTTTCAGCTGAAACTTGGACATTTTCATATTATGTTCTGAGATTTTGGGTTTTTCTTGGCTTTTTAGGGGGGCACCACTTCATTCTTGCAAAGTGGAGGTAGAAATCCAGGTTCCTCACCTGCCCGTTGTTGAAAGTCACTCCCGAGAGGGCTGCTTTTTCTTACTGCCAGTTGGAGGTGGGAGGTCCAGTTCCCCATGTGGTCTCCACTAACTCTGCAGTTAGGGAAGTCTTGTTACTGCTGGGCTATATGGTAAAGTCCTGACTCTCCACTAGTCCTCCTCTGACAGCACCCCAAAGGGGAAGGAGAGGGGCTCCTTGTTACTGCTGGATGGGGTGGAAGTCCATGCTCTCAGTGTGATCTCCACTGACATCACGGGGATGGGAAGAGCTCATTACTGGCCAGTGAGGATGAAAGTGCAGGCACCCTACTTGACCTTCTCTGACACCACCCAGTTGTGCTGGCACACCTCAGTATAGTCTCATGAGGGTGAAGTCTAGGTTCCTACTATGACTTTGCTGATGTGGGTGAGAGTAGGGCCACAGATAGTTTCTGTGGTGTTTGACTGGGGTAGAGTTTCTAAAAAGTTTCCTGTCTGCTAGGCTGCCCTTTTCTTATTCCTTTGTCAGTAAAGAGAAAGCTTTGGGTTGAGGCTTGTATTGTCTGCCTTTAGTATTTCAGAATTGCTGGGTTGTTTAGCTCTAATTCTGGGATCTATGGGGCCAAAAGAAAATCCGGGAACTGACAGACCACTCTGTCATTCCTTGGGCTCTGACGTCTCTAGTCAGTCTGCCTCCTTTTTGGTGTCTTTCCAAGTCTTCTTATCTTGATTTTATGTATAATGACCATGGTTTTTATTTGTGTGTGATGGAAGGAATAGGTACATCAAATTCTGTCTATTCTACCTTCTCTGAAGAAGTACCAAGTGTAAATGAATGTAATTAAACATTTTAAAGTATTTTATACAAACATTTGAAATATAATTAAACATTTTAAATTATTTTATACAAATAAAATCATGTACAGTTTCACATTAAGTATTCTTCTAGTTACCAATAAAAATACTGGTGTCATGCTTCACTCATATAAACAAATTTAAGTGTAATATGATTTGTTTAGTATTGCAAAGTGTTCCTCAGCTGCTACCTGCATCTGTTGCAAAGAGTGTGATCATTTGTGAATATTTCTGGAACCTTTAATTAAAACAAAGAGAAGGAAGAAAACAGCACCTGGCACTTACTAGGAAATAATCATTCAGTTAGCAAGAAGTAGTGCATTTGTGCTGAGAGCAAGGATTTGACAAGTTAATTTGTCTCTTCTCATATCTAAGTGTTTCTGTTGCTCAAATTCTCCCCATGGTTCAATTCTCTTAGGACAAAGCTTACAAACCTTCATGGCATTCAGACACAGCTGCCTTCTGCTTTGAGGACTGGGCAAGAGATATGAAGTATTTCCCTGGGGCCTGCAGGGTGCTAGTAACAAGAGTGGATGTTTGGGATTCTGTGGGGCTCTTCACCAGCACTGAGCACCAGATCCCAAGAGCACCAGAGCTCTTCATTAAGTGTGTGTGTGTGTGTGTGTGTGTGTGTGCTGTGAGGTATGGTACCCCCTCTAACACATGCAGCCAGGCCAGGAACTCTCTTGCCTGGAACCTAAGGGTAGTATTATCTTCTACTGGGCAAGTTCAGCTAAGACTCTGAAACTACATGAATTTTAATGGCTTTCTTTCTCATCTGCTTCTCATAATCTCATGTAAGACTATTCACAATGTAAATGAGGCAAAACTAAACATTTCCACATTCAATTGAGAATTAATATGAGGTAAACACAGATCAGGAGATGGTGAGCATTCTTTCTCTACAATTTATGATGCAATTTTAATGGCCCTGCACCACTGTGTCTTTGTGTAGTGACACTGTGTAGGCAAAAAGGCATATTTCTCTCTCTGAATTATGGAGGAAAGAGCTGAATTTATTTTACGGTCAATTTCATTTTTTCTAACTAGAGTCAAATGATTGATATAATTAAAAATATATCAGCTCACCCAGAACAGTAGCAGTTGTGTATTTGGTTAGATGGCAGGATAATTACCAACCCTTATCTTTGATTTTCAAACTTAAATCTGTTTCCCGTTTAGTTTTAATTGGTTCTAGGCTTCCATCCATCCTTAACTTTGAGTTTATTTGTTGCCATTGTTGTGTCTGAGCTAAGTTGTTTTCTAGTGATACAATAAATCTGTGTGTCTGACTCGTCTTTGTTTTTATGGTTAATATTTTAAGATGATAAAACCAGGCTTTTCAGTATGTGAAATACAGGAGTAAATTGGTCAGAATTACTTTGCCAATGTCTGTGAAGAGGCACTGGCTATTAGGCATTAGCTTATTGAATCACATTTTTAAAAACTCCACAAAAAACCAATAATCTACATTTGTGTTTTCCTTTTCTTAATTTCTGTTGATATTGTACAAGTCTTATAGTGGCCATTTTTGAAGACTTAGGTCTTTTCATAATGATTTCTTGTCCTTGCCATACTGCCAATTAAGTAGTAACCTGGTTTAAGGCAACCTTAGCACCTTAGGCTGCATTATTTAGACAGACCTGGTCCTGTTAACTGGCTGCTTGATAGTGTTTAAAATTTTGGGGAGGAAATAGCTTATTAAAGGTATAAATCCCATCCTCAGAAAAATGCACATAATTGCATAAAGTTTTGGGAAGATTCATGGACATTGTATGGTTATACCCATTTCCTAAGAGTTTCCTAGACTCCAGATTAAACCTCTTGATTTAGACCACTTGATGGCAGAGGCGTATGCAGCAGCTGTAATGTGGTGATGCCAAGACATTTTGACACTATTTACAAGAGGTAATTGCTGATGTTGGTCTGGGGTTAGGTCTGAGGTAGGGAAGTCATGAATTGAATTGGAGGCTCAGGGCTTAAAGGACAGTAAGCAGAAAATGCTATAAAGCAGGGAGTGAGCTTATAAAGTGAAATGGAAGGCATTTCTTTTGCTTTCTGATGAGTTAGAATTAAAGTTACACATATATGGGCAAGGGAAACAAAAGCAAAAATGGACAAGTGGGACTATATCAAGCTAAAAAGCTTCTGTACAGCAAAGGACACCATCAATAGAACAAAAAAGCATCCTACAGTATGGGAGAATATATTCATAAATGACAGATCCAATAAAGGGTTGACATCCAAAATACATAAAGAGCTCACACACCTCAACAAACAAAAAGCAAATAATTCAATT